TCTTCAGGACTGCAAGATGCAGCCTCGGTCTGATTCTTGGAGGCACAGCGACAAGCAAGAGAGGAACGCTTGGTGCAAGTGGGCAATGCAGACGCAAACGCGCGGTCCTCACTCACTCACATAGCAGGTTGGTCATGTTGGTCTCAGTGCTAAGTTTCAGGTCCCTTTGGCTCTGGGAAGATGCTCGTCAGCTGAAGGGAATCCAGAAGCTGACCTGCAAAGTCACGTGGCATCTTGGGCTCAATGGAGTGCTTTCGGATTCTACGCCTTGATATTTTGTGCTCCAGTTCAGGTAGCGAACGCTGTCAAAGACACTGAGCTACTTCGAAATACCCTGCGCTCAGAGCTTGGTGTTGACACAGACTTGTGACATCTTGTGACGCTTGTCAGCTGTGCAGAAGGCACAGTTGCCCAGCTTGCCATTTCTGCAGGCAATCTTGCCTTCTTTGAGACTTTCGATGATGATGCGCTGCATTGCCTCATTGAGGAGACGGGGGAGGCGGTCTCCAGGCCCTTGCATGTGGACCTGCCCAGCACAGGCAATGGAGGTATACGAGTTCCAGCCTGGTGAGAAGGTTGTACGGCAGGGAGATACGGATGGCGCGCGAAATCAGCACGCATAGCCGTCCTCGTGGATAAGTCCGCTTGCCCGAGGTACACACTTCTTCATTGTTGCACAAGGAGATTTCTATGTCATCAGAGATAACAGTCCGCGCTGCTACATTGGGCAGCGGGCTTTTTGCCTTCCAGCTTGAAATGTACGGCTCTAAAGCACATTGTTGCATCTTCAAAGTCGAGGCCCGGGTCTTCATTCGGCGAAAGCGTGCTCTTGCTGCATGGGGAGCGAAATGCCACTGCAGAGCACTCGGCCATGAGGTGGAACAGGATTTTTCCAGTTGTGATTTCGCTTGACTACCGAGGTCTGTGCCCAAGGATGTGCCGCACCCACGACTTCACAAGCATGCATGTTCAAGCTTACCCCAGATCATATCTGCCTGCAGAATTAGATTCCATGCCATCCATGCGCTCTGGGTGAGCTTGGCTCACAAACATCAAAAGTGCTTCTTGTCGCGGTTGCCATGCTGCATTTGAAGACTCCTTACTTATCTTGATGCCCGCACCTATCCAACTAGAAAGTTTGTTTGGCACACGATATGAAGCGCAGTAGCCCCTAGATGCCGGTCCCACAACCATCGACATGAAAGGGCAAAGATACGGAAAGAAGAGAAGTTAAGAAGACCATGTTCAATTTCTCGCCTAGGTGCGCGTGCCTATGGCATGGAAGGCATGCAAGATAAGACCTGAGCCGACAGATGTCAACAGCTGTGAGGCCACCTGTTGCTGAATAGCATTTTAAGAGTCCTTGAGGTCCGGGAAATGCTTCGCCAGCAGTATGAGCAAATGCGACATGCCGTCGTTGAAGCGACGGATGAGGCACATCTCCGTCTCCTTGAGTTCTTGTTGTCATCACGCCTTGTCGCATCTTGTCGCTGAATGACACTCGGTGTCTATGTTTATCTACCTCAGGTGCTGCGCTCCAACCAATGTGAGATTCTGCAAGCGCCCAGGGCAGCCCATGCAGCCCATGCAGCCGCTGGAGTCTACAGAAAAATTCCTTTCTGCAGCAAGACGGGCTCGCTGAGGTCCGGCCTAAATGGATATCAGTTGCAGAGCCTCTATGACCAGGCAGCAGAATTCGGAATGTTGCAGTTGTGTGCTCTGTGCTGCTACCGAGGTGGAGATGAAGTCCTTCAAGCCAGGGGATCTGATTCTCGAGGAAGGCGACCTGCCAAACGAGGCCCTTTGTGCAATGAGTTTGGTGGCCGCCCTTTCGTCAATCCAATGTTAAGCCTCTAGCGGTCAGATCCTGTTTCATACCGTTGTTGATGAGAACTAATGTTCATGCTTTCGTGTACAGCTCCACGCTTGCAGCGCACTCCGACGCGTAGCTCCAACGTGGTTCAGGAAATATGTGACATGTGTGACGAATGGCCAGGTGTTTATCCTCTGCAATGGTGAGGTTGATTCTATGCCTTTGCCTTATCTTGTTGAGGGCAGACACAGCAAGCTGAGAGAAGATAGCAGTGAAATGTTACCATCAACCGCAACTCCTGATCAATGGGTGCTGAGGTCGGGCGGACAGCAGCTGGGAAAAGTTCCAAGGTTGGATGTCTGCAACTCGTTGCAGGACAGTCAGCCCAGAAAGCAAGCCTAGAGCCTAGGTTCTACTTGATGGGCGATCGGGCGCTTCTGTTCCAGGACTGCATACCACCCACTGTCGAGCTGCTAGAGGGCAGATCGACTGCGGCAATCAAGCTAGGTCACACAATCCCAAAAAATCATAGAAACATTCTCTGCTTTAGCAAGTTGCAAGTGCCTGACACTATGCTGGGTCCTGCGTGGCATCATTGGAGCAGCTTCGCGAAGACAGGGTGAGTTGGCCTTTGCGCAGCCGACAAGCCTGATGGCAACCACACCTGTGGAGCCCAAGGCTGAGGGCAAGAAAATGCCGTGTTCATGATCTTTTGCAAGTATGATAGACGCAACGCTTTTGAAAGAAGCTGTCTGAGGGTGCTTGTGATGAAGCGCAGCCTTTTGGACAACATTTTCGGCAGCAGGTTGCAGCAGGCAGCGGCCCACACTCACTGCGCAGGTCCTTTCAAACATCTTCAGAAGTTTGCACTGCCTGTGTCATCTATTTCGGAGAAACAGGGCTCCAGTAGAGCACCGCGCTCCAAGCCCCCAGCACCCAGAACCTTGCCATTGGTGTCTGCAGGTGTTGGTGAGGAACAGGGTGCTGTACGTCCTGGCAAAGCACCAGGCCATCTTTCACTCATGACATGATGGTGCTCTACCGACGGATACTGCTCACTGCCCAATGTCAAAGAGGATTTTTCGCGGCTTCATCATGAACATCGCGAAGCCATTGCAAGTGCGTGCCAGATCCGATGCCTCGCTAGAGGCACTTGAGCTCTTGAAACATTGATCTTTTGTTCCGGCTGACCTGCGCAGGCGAGGAAGCCAAGTGGGAGGCCGGCAAGTTGGGGCTGTGCCGGGTACCCTCGCATTCCATGCAAGCAATAAATGGTGCCTTCCAGCATGTATCAGTGTCAGCAGACATCATGCTACCTCTAAAGCAACTGAGCAAGCAAGACTGGGACACCAGAGTGGTGAGGGACAATGAGGGACAGCACGTCAAGAGGATCTGCGTTGCAACGAACGGCGCACATGGAAACTATGTGGTAACGACAACCCCAGGAGCGCAACCGACGAGGCAGTGCGGAGATCTGTTGGAGAGCCCGAACGCCCTGTCTACCAAAAAGCACCATTCCATCATATTTCAGGCGGGAAGATGCTGTACAAATGAAGATGACGGAACTTCTGATGATGAATGCGACAACCATGTCAATGCAGTTTTTGAAAGGGTCCAGATGATTGCCATGGTTCTGGTGATCCTAGCGACTGCGCTGACTCAAACGATTGTCCTGCTTCTACGGGCGGTGGTGGTCCTCGTGCTGGCTGCGCTCGTGATGCTTACAATGGTGATGCTGTGTTTTGCGATTTCCTGATGTCTTCAGTTTTCAGCAAACCCTTGCGCTGTCATTGACACCCTTGCTTTGTCCGAGTGACGGGCTTCATTTTTGGGAGCTTGCTGGCTGGGCTGAGGGCTGTGAGAGTCCAGGGCATGCTTATGTGAGGCTCAGGCAAAACTTAGCTTGGCTGGATTCTTCTAGGGCCTGGATTGGCTTGAGTAACTGCTGGATGCTGCCGGAAGGGGTGACCAAGGAGTGTAAATTCACGTACCATTCCTTAAGTAAAGGCTTCCAGGCTGGGATGCTGCCGCGATTTCAGAGGTTCTCGTCAGTGCCAATGTTCGCTCTCTTGTTTTGCAGAGTGCGATCCATCTCGCTTGAGCTTCGGGCCACTTCTCTGGTACACTTTCTCTTTACCGTTAAAGACGAGAATGTACGATTGCTTTGCAAAGAGTTTTCCAGAATATAATATCTGAGAGCAATTGTGCAAGCAATGTCAGGGTACAACAGGCCGGCCATGTGTCATCCCTGTGACAGCTGGCACTTGGCTAGGCGTGTCCCCGCATCCCTGCCCGTGGTGTGGGCTTAGGTGTTCATGGTCTCACCCCCTCTGTTTCCTTCAGTGGTTCGAGGAATGAAGTTCCTCCTCTGCCTGTCCTGTTGTGATGTTTGATATGTTAAGTTCAATGCGATATCCTCATTTTGCATTCAGTGCCCAAGTTTCGGGTAATTGGTTCCTGGAGATCAGGCCATGTAGAGCATGATCTAGTCGATTCTATCAGAACTCTCAGAGCCTGGACGCGCACTATCGTCGCGAGGCGAGACATGGAGACCAGAAGCGACAACGGTTGCGAGGATGGCCTTGGCGATTGCCCTGATCCTCTGGCTGAAGCGGGAAAGCCCATACGTTCTACTGTGGTTGTGTCAGCTCCTCACCGCCCGGTGGATTGTGCTTGAACCGCTTGGAAATCTGGCTAAAGAAGCGTGAGTCAAACAGAAAGAGGGATGCCCCGCTTGTTTATACGTGCATGCAGATGCGGAGGTCACTGTCAGAAATAGATGCCAGCAAGCGAGTATGCACTTCGCGTTTCGCCTCCTTGTCCGGATTCCAACATGAGATGGACAGAGAATCACAGAGCCTCGGAGGACGTCAGGGTCATTGTGGCGGTGAATGGCGAATTCCAGTTGTCGCATACGCAGATCCTGCTCGCAAAGCAGCTTCATCATGTTCTGCTTATGGCCTTCCAAGGAATCTGGAGACAGGACCACAACATATGCTTGGTGCTTCGCCTAGGCCTTAGACGGTCGTCCGGTCGGTTTGGACATTGCAGGCCCTCGTGCCAAAAATGTTTTAGGTCTGATCTGTTTTGCATGAATGGGGAGCAGCCTCGACCTCAGATTTCCGACCGGTGAGAGCCGGAACCCTGAACCCTGTCTCTAGCCGCGAGCCATCGCCAGCCATTGAAGGCAGTCGGCATTGAAGCTCCAAGCAATTGCGGATTCAAAGGCTGCAGTGTGGCGAAGGGAGGACACTGCGTCATCAGCTTTGTTTTGCTTATGTGCCGCCGTCAGCCAGTAACGGCACGGAATCTTCAAGGACTTGGACAGCATCCTTCCATTCAATGATTTTGATGGTGCGCTCGAGCAGGACAGCAAGGCCTACACTTTGTTTGTGAAGTAGGACAGCGGAGACAGTTCTAGGTACATATTACCGTCCGTTCTGGAAGGTCCGAAGTCTTCGCGCGGTCTTTGTTTTCGCCACTCTGTCCAAGCAGCAGCTCCAGCGTGAGGTGCTTAATGGCATAATTAGATGTCGTCCAAGGCCTTCCATGGAATAACCAGGCAAGTCAGTGAGTGAGGGAGGGAGTGAGCGAGTGAGCGAGTCAGAGAGACCAAGGGGGCAGCCCCCAACTCCCTCACCAAGGTTTAATTGTTTTGGCATTCCACAACCTCCTCACCATCAAACATAAAGTGCTGTCCATTGAACTCATAAACTAGCCACAGGGCAATCAAGAGTATCCCCGTAACAAGAAAGCCAAGAAAAGGGGGCCGCAGTTTTTGCTGACGGGGACAGGAAGCCCAAATTTTTGGTGCAGTTACGCTGTCGACATCGTTACCCCAGAGCAGTGAGCCAGCCAACAAGTTCTCACTTAACAACGAGGCCCCAAAACAGTTGCGTTCACGGTACATACTACATTCCCCCATGGCAATCTTGCAAAATCACAATTTCTAAAGGCCTGATGCAGTCTCACCCACAATGAGCCGACCTGTGCAAACTGGTCCCCAGGAATATCCCTTTTTTAGGGAGGGGTGTTTAAAACAAAACAAATAAGGATAGAAAGAAAAAATAAGGCTCAAAAAAAAACAAATAAGGATCAACAAAAAAAAAACAAAATCCTTGATTTTATACTAAAACACAATATTTCTGGCCTCCC